CTGGGCGGGATGCGCCCATCTGCCTGGTCACACCTGCCCCCTGCTCCCAGGAGAGCCATCAGACCCCTGCCTGGCGCTGTCTGTCTCCCCACTTTCCTAGCCCCGACTCCCCACACAGCAGAGGGGACCTCGGCCCCCTTCTCCACGGGGCAGCGCTGTAGCTATTTGGAAGCGGCTGGCCAGGTCCAAGGCTGCACCTCCAGTTCCTGTATTTGTTGGGTTTTATGTGACCACGTGTCCGACCCTCACCGTGCTGGCTCCCTCCTCACCTGGCCAGAAGCATCCAGAACCGCTGGGACTGAGCAGGGCCAGAGTGTAACTGTGTGGAGCAGTGGCTTCAGCCTGTGGCTCTTGGCTATGGCCTGCGTCCCAGTCACTTGGGGTGATGGCTGCCTGCATCTTAGTCACTTGGGGTGATGGCTGCCTGCATCTTAGTCACTTGGGGTGATGGCTACATGTGGATTCCCAGGCCCTACCTGGGCCCTCGTCCTCCTTCACACCGAGATGGGGTGGGTGCCTCCATGTTTATCTCGCTCCCCGTGTCATACTGTGGGCACGTCGGTGGGAGAACTGCTGCCCTAGAGTGTGAGTCTGTGGGTGCACGGAATGCACCGGCGGGAAGAGCTTGGCAGCAGACTGAAGGCATGGGGGGGCAGGTCAGATGTGGGACACATGGAAGGTTTGGGGTGTAGGAACCCCCAGTGTCAGAGGGAAAGGCAGCCCCGTGGAGGGGGAAGCTGGGGACTCAGAGCCCAGTTCTCCTGCGGGTGCTTCCTGGGACTTTTCCTCGGGCGGGGTCACCAGGTCAGGGCTGCCCACCTGATGCCCTTGTAATTAGCTGGTTATTCGTAACAGGACAGGAGCAAATGGAAGGCCACCAGTATAGGCATGGCATCTGGGCAGCTTCCCCAGGAGTTGCAGTTTTACATGCCCCCAGGCCCCGCAAAGGGGAGGTAGACGCATGCCCAGTAAAGCTGGGGGCACTAGGGAAGGTGCTGACTGCCAGTCACGCCTGGGAGCAGAGGTCATTGGCCAGAATGGGCGTGGCCACTGCCAGCAGGAAGATTTTGGGTACCTAATCCCCTGAACAAAGAAGTGAGCTCTCTTGGTCTCCTCCTCTGCTCTGGGGGAGTGTCGTTGCAGGGGGCGCACTCTCCTGGCTCCCCCGCATTCGCCCACACGGCCCTCGGCCCTGTGCACCCCACCCGCAGTGGATGGATGGACTGCAGCCAGCCTGCAGCGGAAGCTCTGGACACTGGCTGTGCTTCTAGCGCTGCCGACCCCCCATTGGCACGCCTTCCAGGACTGGACGAAGGGGAATGGGACTTTGGAAACCCAGTGATGGGGAATTCCATACAAATAAAAACCACTCCTCCTCCTGGGCCAGTCTCGGGAAGTATCGTTAAGGACCCCACCCCCAGCACTCAGTGGGGAAAGGGACCCCCCTCACTTGCACAGATAACATAACTAGGAAAAGAGGGGTGAAGACTATACTCGTGAGCTTTTAAAACACAACACAGGCCGGGACCCTCTTCATCCATCCCTCTCCCCGCACTGAGGCCGAGCGCTCCCAATCCTTGCCACCCTGGAATCAGACGCCGAGTTCTGCGCACCTGAGTGAGTGTGTGTGTGTGTGTGTGTGTTAGCATTCACCTGATTCCCAAAGGGGCCAAGACCCCTAAAAGGGTCAGGTTGTTGGCCTGCATCCTCCTTATGGCTCCTCCCAGCTGCCTGGTAAGTGGAAATGAGAACTCCCCCAGCATGGGCTGTGCTCACTCACATTACTGACACCAGGCCAGGGCGAGGGGACTCACCCTTGTGCGCGGTGAGCAGGGGCGCGATGGTGCTCTGGTGCCACACGGTGACGAGCAGCGTCCAGGGCAGCACGATGAGGATGATGGCAAGGATGTCCCGTCTCTTCGGCATCTCCAAGGCTGGCTGGGCCCACAGCTCCTCATTACCTGAGCGGCGGCAAGGTCCGGAGATGACAGATGACAGCGCCAGGGGCGGGGGCAGCGCGCAGGGATGAGCACAGGGGAGAAGAGAACAGGAATGGGCCGGACAGGCCAGGCACAGGGACGACAGAGAAGCCGACGCTGGCTAGCGGGTCTTACCAGCGCTCACAACCCACCCATTGCGAAAGCAGGTTTGCAGAGTCCAGCTCGGCCAGAGTTTCAGAAGGGGTGGTGGCTCAGGGCACAGTCAGGAACCCTGCCAAGTGCATACCTGCAAGAGAGAGCAGAAGAGGATGGCCAGAGACCTGGGGAGGGTGGGGGGACGGCATCCAGGAGGGCCAGGCCTGGCCCTGGCTTGTCATGTGGAGCCCGGACTGCCTTCTCCGGGCTGCTCAGCAGGGAGCAGAGGTTAAGGGCACAGACTTCAGACACACCTGCATTGGTTTAAACACTGAACTCTGCCACCAACAAGCTGTTGTTCCTTTGCCAAGTCACGGAAACAGTCCGTGCCACAGTTTTCTCATCTGTGAAATGGGTACCATCAGCATGTACTTCACAAGGTGGTTCTGAGAATTAAACAAGTCAGCACCCCTAGAGCCCTGAGGACGGCGCCTGGCGTGTACATACTGAATCTGCGACGGTGCTGGCCACATGTTTGGGCCGGATGGTTTCTTCAGAGCCTGGATAAAGGGGGCAGCCCTGGGGTGTAAATGAAGCAGTGACCTTATGCCACACCCCTAGCCCAGTCCCCAACTCCAAGACCACGGAAGGGGCTGCAAATGGGCTGATCAAGGTCTCCATTTGGCTGGCTGAGCTCAGGCCATTTGATGGACAGGGGAGCATCTAAAAGGCCTGGCTGGGAGATTGCCTCTGGGTCCTCCGTGACTCCAATGGAGCTTTTTCAAATGCCCTTTATCTTGGGGAGGGCCCTAAGTTCTGGGTGGAGAAAGCCAGGCAAGGCGAGCTGTGTGCGATTCGGCGAATTCGGCGTGCACGCCCAGCTCCTGTGGCACACACATCGCCGCCCGCACGCTTCCTCTGGGCAGCCTCCACATTCCACGCCTCTACCTCTGGCACTCGCTCAACCTCCCGCTCGTCTGCTGGGCTGTTGTTAGTAACGACAGCTGTGAGATGACACCTATGGTGTCCGAAGGTGACGCTGGGCAGTTCCTGTTCAGCATCACAACAACCCCGGCTGCTCCGCGCCGTGTCCTTACCGCTATTTCACGTGGGAAATGCAACAGTGACTTGCCCAAGGCCAACGCCAGGACATGCAGACGTAAACCCAGGCCCTTCGGTCTCCTGCAACCAGGGGCATGGGGGAGGCAGCATCCAGGCCCCCGAGCCCCCAAACCTGATCAGGCGTAGACGGGGGTGAGCCCTGGCATAGAGCCACCCTCCCCTAGGAAAGCCACCCCTGCTGCTGTCCCAGAACCTTCCAGAAGCGGGGAGGGAGACGGGGGGAGGCAAGGATGCAGGGGGCTGTTCTGGTCAAGACATCTATGCAAGGAAAGGGAGGGGGGATGAGGGAGGGAAACTCTAAAAATAAACGTAGCAATAAACCCAGTTGTGCATTAATTACTCTGGAAGCCATTACGGCCTGAAAATCCCATAACTTTAATGGCGGCGATTATAAGCATCGTAGCAAAATCGTGGAGCTAATTACCAGGTGGTTATTCAGCAGAACAGCCGGAGCCCCAGTCTCAGAGAAAGCCAGCTGGCCCGCAGGGGTGAGTTTATGGGAAACGGGGCCTGAGCCTGGGGGTGGGGTGTGTGTGTGCGGGGTTAGGTCCTGGGGGAGCCTAGGGCTGTGGGGGCTCATGGAGGGCGGCCACAAAGTTTCAATCGCACTGTACGTACATGCCCGCACGTGGTATTTTGTGGAAGAGCCACACTCAAGGGGCCAAAGAGCCGCATGTGGCTCATGAGCCGCGGCTTGCCGACCACTGAGCTGGGGCATCACAGCCTTTTCCTCCCCAGGCTTTGGAGGAAGGGCGGCAGCTTGCCTGTGGCCGCAGGCTCAGCCCTGCAGGCTGCACCCACATAGACCCTGCAGGCTGCACCCACAAAGACCCTTTTGGGCATGTATTCAGGTACACATGTGTGTGTGTGTGTGTGTGTGTGTGTGTGTGATGGTCAGTTACAAGCAGGCTCCAAAACCATCCAGACATGTGTCTCTGACATGATAAAGCCATGCTAGCAAACACGTTGGGAGCAGCAGTGAGTTGGTTGAAGGAGTCTGCTATAACGTGAAGAGTCCCTCCAAACAATGCACCCCTGTAATGCTTGTTTCAACTTACACAGTCTTTAAAGAGGCAAGAGTTTCCCCATGTTGCACAACCCGAGGCCATTTCCCCTGGAATCCTCACCACTCCTTGCTGGCCGCTCTCAGCACTCCCGAGGAGGGGAATTTGGGGGGGAATTTCCGGCGTTCCTGGCCTTACCCCCCACAGTGCACCCTACGACCTCTTTGTTGATTTCGTGAAAGTGACCCAGGACCTGCAGGACACTTGGTGTGCCATCTGCATGCACTATCCTTTAGCATTTTTATGACTTTTCCCACCTATCTCCACCTACCTAGAAGAATTTTTTTCCCAGACTCACCGTGTGGAGTCTTTTGAGAACACCCAACTTAGTTTTCATAGAAACAACATATTTCTCTCTTTCCAGCCCACGTTTCGTGGTTTGATACTATTCCGCTGTGAGGGTCACAAGCATGGCCTTTAAAAACGGGTTGGGAACTAACATGAGGAACCCTGGGACGGGACGCCAGGCCAGCCTGGGACTCACTCAGCTGGTGTGAGCAGGGGTGGCCCCTAGAGGGGAGAGGCAGCATTACAGGGGCCCAGAGGATGGAATGGATCCGGTCTGTGTGCTGCCCTGGGTCAAGCTGGTTGGGGGCGCTTCTGCTGTGTGCCTGTGAAGGAAGAAAGCTGGCCTCCCTCATCTGAGCGCCCACATCCTGGGGTGGGTGGGACAGACGCTGAAGCCTCCTCGCGCAGGCACAAGCCAGGCCCAGGGCTCCACCGTTCAGCCCAGGAGGGGTGAGGATGGGGAGGGGGCTGGGCCAGCACCAGCCTCTGGGCATGGGGTCAGGGAGGTGACAACAGGCGGCAGAAGGAGGGGGACATTTTAAAAGAAGATGCGGGACGGAGTCAAGGCTCCAGCTCCAGCTCTGGACGGCTCTCCGGGCGAAGGGAAGTGTGGATTCGTCCCGGAGATCCGCAGGAACTCCTACATGGATCAAGGGATTAGTATCGATTCTTCTGCCTCTGCTCAGGAAAAGCCCCGTGCCAGAGCTAATCAGCTCCCGGGCCAGTCAATCCATACTTCATTAACCCGGCCCTGTCCTCCCGCAACCCGGCCACCGTCCTCCCTGCACCCCGGCCTGGCCCTGGCTTCAGCCAGGAGCTCCTGCTGGGCCTGCAGGGCACCGGCTTGGCCTCTCTCCACTCACCAATCCCCCAGCCTCCTGCTCAATTCCTCTCCCCCCACCCCCATCAGCTGGAGGGGCAGGGAGAGCAGGGGACAGGGATCCAATAGCTCCCTCCACTCTGAGAAGTGAAGTGAGGTCTGCGAGGGATGCTCAGTTGGAATGGCGGGCCTTCTCAGTGACATCCCGGTGCTGGGCCAGCAGGGTTCATTTTCTCCACACCCCCGGGTCCTTTCGTCTTCACGACACCCCGGGGAGGCAAGCAGGCGGTCTCCTTTCACAGTTGGGGAAACTGAGGCTTAGAAGGGCTGCGTGACCAGCTCCAGGTCTGGAGGCCATCTCCACCAGGGCCACTCAGGCTCGGCCTTTGGACTCTGAATTGGTGCAACCCCACCTCACGCAGCCTCCCCCACTGCAGAGCCAGCACGTGGGCTCCCGGGCCACCCTCAGGGCCCGGCTCCCTGAGCCTGCTGGGCCTGTGGGCTCTGCCAGCTGGTGCCAGGCAGAGGGTTCCAGGGAGGGGCTCCCCACCTGCTCTCGGGGTGCAGCACGGATGGAGAGAAAGGCCGGGCCCTGGCGAGGTCCACACCCCGCCTCTTGGCCCGGCCACTGCCGGCTCTCACTCCCGGCTACTTCTGATGGGAAGGGCGGCAGCTTCCGTTCATGGGCGTCAGTGCTGCTCCAGAAGCTGCGGTGATGACCAACGTGGAAGGGCCTGGAGGGACTTGCCCGGCCTGGGGCCCTCTACGTCCCCAGCTGAGCTTTGGCTGCCTTCCAGAAGGCAGGACGGAAGCCAAAGACCCCCAAAGTCCCATTTCACCCCCAAAAGGAGAGGCAGTGAGGAAGAGTGGCGGGGTACTCAGAAGGGACCCCTTCCTGTCTCAGGGACTCATTTTGGCCTTTTTCTGCCTCCGTTTCCCCATATTCAGTGTGGAGCTCTTAGGCCTCCTTTACAGTCTGGCAAACTCCAGGAGGACCTTAAAGTCAACACGGCTCCGTTTCCTTATCTGTTACTCTTACCGGCTATTTTGGGGATCAAATGAGGGAAACATCTAGCTTGAGGCCTGGCACCCAATTAGCACAAAACAGGCTCGCTAATGTCAAATAGGACAGCGGTTCCAACAACCTCCACCTGGCTTTAAAAGTCAGCTGAGTCCAAGCGCCGGGAGGAGAGGGGAGGGAGAGGGCACTTCGGCTCCTTCCCGGTGGGACCGCACTCACGGCCTCCGGGCAGGTTCCTCTCTCCAAGGGCGAGGCTATGCCAAGGCCGGACTCCGTGGAAAGCAGGTACATTGGCAGGTGTCAGCGCGCTAAACTGGGTGTGTGTCCGTGGCCAAGGCACCAGAGAAGGGAGATTTCCCGCATGTGGGGAGGCTGAGGCCCTGAGAGGGGGACTCTGGCCCGCTCCCCCTGCCCAGCTCAGATCTTCAGGCCCAGCTGCTGCCCACTGGCTGGCACTCCACTGTGGCCCCAGCACAGCCCCCTGGGGGGGCACTGACTGCCCTCCCTTTTTACAGATCTGGAAACCAGCTGGGGACTGCAAGGTTTTGCCCCAGGCAGATAGCCTGGGCCTGCCCTGGTGTTGGGATACCTCCTGCCCTCCCTGCCCCTGCCCATTAGTCCTGTGTCTCGGCCCAGAGACTGGTGCTCAGAGAAGGAATGGGGTGGGGGGTTCAGAAGGTCGGGGGTCATCTTTCCTGACCCCAGAGCTGTCAGAGCATGGAGTTTCTCCTCTCCTGGCCTTGGGGCTGAGAGCCCGCCATCAGCAGGGGGCTAGGCCCTAGCAGTGGTCCGCAAACTGCGGCTCTTGGCCCCTTGAGTGTGGCTCTTCCACAAAATACCGACTGCTGCGCATGGGCCACGAAGTTTCAATCGCACTGTACATGCGGGCCCGCACGTGGTATTTTGTGGAAGAGCCACACTCAAGGGGCCAAAGAGCCTCATGTGGCTCGCGAGCTGCATTTTGCCGACCACTGGGCTAGGGCAACAGACCTAGGGCCCATCATTTCCTGCCCTTTCCCCAGCTCCTCCATCAGCTGTTACGTGCAATCAGCTGACCCCACTGCCTGGATGGGACATAGTTAACGAAGGGTGTTGAAGGGGGTGGGGGTGGGGGGAGAGCCCAGCCTAAGAAGGCCTGCGAGCCCAGGGTGGGCAATGTGTGCCCCCTGTGAACACGCAGGTGTGAAGGTGATGAATGGAGGCCCCCCCACTCTCCATTCCCGAGAAGGTAGGTTATACTGACACGGTTTTATAGGCCGTGTATTATATACGACAACAGCAGGGCGGCCGTGGATCGCCGAGATGGAACCTGAATACGCAAAGGCACATGCTGAGGCAGCCTTGCCACAATCACAGGGTTTCCGGGGTCACCCAGGGCTCCGGACCCCGGGGGGTGCTCTGAGAGTAGGGGACAGATTTCTTTCTCAGGGTCCAGGCAGGTGGAGCAGAATGCAGGGGTCACCTGCACCTGGGATGCTCCTGCCCTCACTGAGCCTCCGCCAGCTGAGTTCCTGCTGGGCCTTTGAGGTGCACTCACCGGGGACTGTCTCCAGGGTCCAGGCGCTGAGGATGCCCAGCCAGCACTGGACGGTGAGGGAAGCGATGGAGGCCCACGCCTGACAGCATCCCCTCCAATAAAACGGGGCTCCTTCCTCTCTGTGCCCCTGATGCCTGGCACCGGCGTGAACTCTGAGCTGCTGGGGAGCGGCTGGGCCCCGACCCTGAGATAGCCCTTGAGTGGGAAGGCGAGTGGGCAGAACCACTGTTATTGGCACCTTTTTGCTCTGGTCTGGCATGGGCGAACCTGCCAAGCGGATAAATGAAATGCGGTTTCTGTGTCCAAATACCGCTCAGCCCGAGGAGGGAAGACAAGCCTGACACGGGCCGCAGCCCGCCTGGACACGCACGGCACGTGCACGCATGGACGGCGCCTGAAGTGGTCGCCCCGGGGAGACGGAGCAGATGGGGGTGATCTGGAGCCGGGCAGCGGAAGGGGCATTGTTTAACAAGCATCGGGTTTCCAGTGGGCAAGACGGGAGTTCTGGGCAGGGGTGGCTGCCCGACAATAGGAATGTGACTTTACTCAATATCTCTGGACACTTAAAGATGGTTAAGGTGGTAATTTCTTTTTTTTAACCACAATGAAAAGAACTGCCATCCAGAGGTCTGGTTAGATCCCCCCAACAATGACGCACCCCTCAGGGCCAGGACACGGGATTGGGGCTCAGAGGTTTCTCTGCAGTGGGGCTGGGGTAGACACCTGTGGGTGGTGTGGGGTGGGGGGGCTGCTGGGTGCCCTTTCCTGC